CAGAGGTCCTAGATCTGCAAGACACTTTAGAGAGCAGATCCAGAGGTTCTAGATCTGCAAGACACTTTACAGAGCAGATCCAGAGCTCCGGGCACTGGCTAGGAAAAGTAGTGGGAGGGGAAAGACAGGAAAGGGCCATAGTAGAAGTCTCTATGTAGCCAGGGGCATAGGCAGAAGGCGGATATTGAGCATGGACTTGTGAGGTTAGCAGAGCACAAATGACATGGAAGGGGAAAGGACTCTGGAAAGAAGCAATGTGATGTTTGTGGATAGGCAACGAGCCCTGTCTCTGACACACACTGACCAATGCCACCGTCCCAAATGATCACGGGTTTGACTGCTTTGTATATATTTGTGTTTGCTCACTTCATGTATGTGTACTTGTCTCTCCCATTAGAATGTGAGCTCTTTGCAAGTAGGGCCTGGGGTTCTGAACAAGAATAATTCTTGACACTTGTATCTAGTACCTAGCACATAGTAGGCACTTAGTAAATGCTTGTTGATTGAGTGATTGATTGATGATGTGACTGTGGGAGAGTCACTTCCCCTCTCATTCCAGCTAACTTTAAGACTCCAAGTTATGAACAGTTGCTGTCCTCCATTGGTGCAAGTTGTTTATCTGGAGTTCCTTATACTGATAAAGGCATGGGCAGGGCCATCTGCAAAAGGCACTGGATTGATTTGCCTTTAGAAAACCTGGGGCTGAGTACTAGCTTCGCCACTGTGTGATGGAGGATGGACTATTTAATATCTCTCAGCTTCTTCATCTGTTGTTGAGTCACTTCATTCATGTTGGACCCTTTGTGACTCCATTTGGGGTTTTCTTGGCAAAGAGAGCGGTTTGCCATTTCCTTCTCCAGTTCATTTTACATATCAGGAAACTGAGGCCAACAGGGTTAAGTGACTTGCCCACGGTCACAACAGCTAGTAAATGAACCTCATCTAATCTTCTAACCTCTTCATCTGTAAAAATGTACTTTGGGGTTGTGTAAGCAACAAATGAGATTCTATATATCAAAGGGCTGAAAAGGGACTGTTATTTTAAGAGGGAGGAAACTGAGGCAGGAGGAAGTTCTTTGGTTTTTCCCAAGATCACAGATCACTTAGTAAGTAGCTGGAGCTAGAATTAGAACCCAGGTCCCGGACTCCTACATCAATGCTTGAAGCCCAAATCACCTGCTCCTGGACTCTGTGTCCTCTCAGGGCTCTGTCACCAGCCCCCACCTAAAAGAATCAAGTCTAGAGTAGAAGGAGATGATGTCATGGGAAAATGCCCTTCAAAGCCCTGGGTTGACCCCCCAGATCTGCTGCTTGGTGGCTTTTGTGACCCTGGTCAAGTTATTTCCCATGTCTGAGCCTCAGTTTCCTCCACTGTAAGATAAGTTGAACTAGAAGATTTCTAAGATCTCTTCCAACTTTATATTTGTATTATATATATGTATATATACGTATATATATAGGCTTTTTATGTACATGTTATTAGAATAGAAGCTTCTTGAGGACCCACACTGTTCCTCCTACTTCTGGGCATCCCCAGCATTTAGTGCAGTGCCCAGCACATAGTAAGCACCTAAATAGTAAGCCTTTATAGGTAAGCCTACTTATATTTTACAAATTAGGAAGTGAGGGCCAAAGGAGGTTAAGGGACCTGCCCAGGTACTATATAGCAGAGTTGGATTTCACACTGTTTCCTTACTCAAAACCCAGTGCTCTGTCAACCTCATTATACTGACCCCAAAGGAGGATTTCAAAGCAAACCAGACCTCTGGCACATTCTGAAGATTACTAGCCTGGGTCAGCCCCAATTTATTTGTGTCACGAGACCATCAGACCAGGCCCTAAGAAGTGGGGCACAGACCCTGCTCTTCCCCTGTTATCCTTGACTCTAAGCCAGTCTCCCCCAGAGGACACAAGGTATTGTCTAGGGAACCACGGGGAAAACTCTCCTGTTGTAACTTTTCTAAGTCAGAGTAGAGTAACACTAACCTAAATCCTCAAAGCACTTCTCTTCCTGGGAATATTTCCAACCTACTCCAGGAGGATGTGGGTGCCATGTCTTACCTTAATATCCTTAAGACACACAGATGGATTCACAGTTTCTCAAGAACACCCAGGGTTTCCTTCAGGGGGATGGACTCTCCCCCCAAAGCATGCTTGTTTCTGCAACCTGAGAACTTTGGGGGAAGAAATATGGGATCTTGCTAAAACTACAACTCCAATGGCACTTGGATCTACTTTCAGAGCCAACCTTGGGAACATGTCCAGATTCTACCAGATTGATAGATCCTGCCTGTGAAAGGGCTAAAGCCCTGATAAATAACCACCCTCTACCACTGTCTCCTAAATCATGACCGCCATCAGGATGCCTGGTGTCTCCACATATCCATCACTCCTCCCATCTCAAATCACAGCAACAACTGTGAGTTTGCAATAATATTTACAAGGGAAGAGAAAAGTTTGCTAGCCTATACAAAATGAAATAAAGAATTATGAATCCCAGAATCTCAAACTAGAAGTCCTACCTTCTCCAAGCTAGACTTGCTCTGATCTTATCCCATGCTAAGACCCTACCATACAAATGGTATCAACCAGGTTCTAATCAGGAGTCAGCATAAACAGTTCAATTCCACAGATGTGGAGAATGATGGAGGGGAATAATGAGCAATAAATACATAATCCATAGCCAGATTCTGTAGGGGCTTTAAGTGCCTGGCTGAAAAATTTGTATTTTACGCTAGGGGCAATAGGGAAAACATTGGCGTTTCTGAAGTAGGGGAGTGACATAGTTAAATTTGTGTTTTAGGAAGATTCCAGCTCTCATGTTCCAGGAATCTATAAATGGTGAGTCCAGAGAGGGAAGGAGCACAGTGCCTCAATGGGCATCCCCTCTCTCACCTAGGCTGAGGTTTTCCCCATGCACCTGTGAATGGACTGGGCTTGGAGGCTGCCCTTCTAAAGAATCCATGAAAGGCAGTGAAAGCAGTCACTGAATTCGGGGTCAGAAGCCCTGGGTTGGAATTCTGGCCTTGCTACTTGTTGCCCATGTGACCTTGAGTTGAGTCATTAACTATCCAGACTTCAGTTTCTTCATCTGTAAAAATGAAGGGGTTAGACTAGAAGTAGCATGGCCCACAGGAAATAATTTTGGCTTTGGAATGATGAAGAATGGGGTTCCCATTTCAGCTGTGACTCCCTATTACCTGAGTGACATTGGGGGGAAGTTGCAATATGTTCCTAGGCCTAGATGATATACTGGATAGATCTCTGGCCCTGGGGTCAGGAAGATGAGTTCAAGTCTGGCCTCATACACTTAATAACTTTGTGACCCTGGACAAGTCACTTTACCCATCAATGCCTGCCTCAGTTTTCTCATTGGTAAAATGGGCATGATAATAATAGCACCTACCTCCTAGAGTTATCGTGAGGATCAGATGAGATATTCGTAAAGCACTTAGCAAACCTTAAATTACAACAATTATTATTAAGCAAAATTAAGGAGTTCTGCCTATGTGACCTAGAAGAACTCTTCTCACTCCAGATCTGTGGTCCTGTAATTGGATTCTCTCTAAGGTCCCTTCTAGCTTTAAACCCCATGCCCAGTCCTGACATTCAGCCCTCTCCCCAAGAGCTCATTCCAAGTTGGAGTGTTGGGACCTCAGGGTCTCCACATAATTCAACATGGGACAAGGGCTGAGAGAGAAGTCTAGTAGGAAGGAGAGGCTTGTCTTCCTTTTTCTGCTCTCTATACACGTGGAGATAATTATCATGACAGAGGCAGTAGTAACAACAGCCGTCTTCTTCCCCCTCATCGCTTCTCTCAGAGGAGTTCACAGAATTCACAGACTCAGCCTCCCGCTCTCCTCCTGCCCATAGCCCTAGATTCACCACTCTGAAAGGAAAGCCGGGGCAGTGCCCTGGTGGGCAGGGCATCAGAACCTAGGATTTCCAGCTCTGAGCCACCCTAAGGCCCCTGGGCCAGTGGGGAAGAATGAGAGTGACTGAAGAAATAACTCCTGCTTCCAGGCTGTTCTTCTAATGACGCTGTTCTTCTCTTTTAGGGATGGCCACAGGTGGCCCCTTGACAGGGGGCAGTGATGAATGAACCGGAGCTGGGTCATCGGAAGACAAGGAACAATAACTTCCCCTGGTGAAGGACACAACCCCTGCCTCACCCACGCTGCCCATCCCTGAATAGCATGATCTCACCTAGAGGAAGGTGCCCCTGCCCACCAATGGGCCACTGATCAGGCCGTTAGTGATCCATAGAAGGGAGAAGAGGAAGGGCATCAGCGTAGAAGCCAGCAAGCTTCCTCCCTGCAGTCCCAACATGTGGCTCCTTCTGCTTCACCTGCTACTGGCCTGGGTAGCAGGGGCTGCTGCTGCTGTGCCTGTGGTACCCTGGAGGGTACCATGCCCACCACAGTGCTCCTGCCAGATCCGGCCCTGGTACACACCCCGATCGGTGTACCGGGAGGCTACCACAGTGGATTGCAATGACCTGTTTTTGTCCTCTGTGCCCCCAGGACTGCCCAGCGGCACCCAGACCCTGCTCCTGCAGAGTAACAACATCGCTCGGGTGGAGCAGAGTGAGCTTGACTACCTGGCCAACCTGACCGAGCTTGACCTGTCCCAAAACAGCTTCTCCGATGCCCGTGACTTTGGCCTTCGGGCCCTGCCCCAGCTACTGAGCCTTCACCTGGAGGAGAACCAGCTGACCCAGCTGGAGGACAACAGCTTTGTGGGGCTAGCAAACCTTCAAGAGCTCTATCTCAACCACAACCAGCTTCGCAGAATCTCCCCTGGGGCCTTCACAGGGCTGGGCAACCTCCTGCGACTCCACCTCAACTCCAACCTGCTGCAGGCTGTCGACAGTCGATGGTTCCAGGTCCTGCCAAGCCTGGAGGTCCTCATGATAGGGGGCAACAAGGTGGACGCCATCTTGGACATGAATTTTCGGCCTCTGGCCAACCTGCGAAGCCTGGTGCTGGCTGGCATGAACCTGCAGGAGATCTCCGATTATGCACTGGAGGGTCTGCGGAGCCTGGAGAGCCTCTCTTTTTACGACAACAAGCTGGCCCGAGTGCCTAAAAGGGCGCTGGAGCATGTGCCTGGGCTCAAGTTCCTGGACCTGAATAAAAACCCGCTGCAGAGGGTGGGGCCAGGCGACTTCACCAACATGTTGCACCTCAAAGAGCTCGGGCTGAACAACATGGAAGAGCTGGTCTCCATAGACAAATTTGCCCTCGTCAATCTCCCAGAGCTCACCAAGCTGGACATCACTAACAACCCCCGGCTTTCCTTTGTCCACCCCCGCGCCTTCCGCCACCTGCCCCAGATGGAAACCCTCATGCTCAACAACAATGCCCTTAGTGCCTTGCACCAGCAGACCGTGGAATCCCTGCCCAACCTACAGGAAATCGGTCTCCACGGCAACCCCATCCGCTGTGACTGTGTCATCCGTTGGGCCAACACCACGGACACCCACGTCCGCTTCATCGAACCGCAGTCCACGTTGTGCGCCGAGCCGCCCGATCTCCAGCACTGCCCTGTGCGTGACGTGCCCTTCCGGGAGATGACCAACCATTGCCTGCCCCTCATCTCTCCTCGGAGCTTCCCCCCAAGCCTTCAGGTGGCCAGCGGGGGGAACCTGGCCCTCCACTGCCGGGCCCTGGCTGAGCCAGAGCCTGAAATCTACTGGGTGACTCCAGCTGGGGTGCGGCTGACCGCCGCCAGGGCAGGTGGAAGGTATCGGGTATACCCGGAGGGAACACTGGAGATCCGAGAGGTTACTGAAGGTGAGGCTGGGCTCTATACCTGTGTGGCCCAGAACCTGGTGGGAGCTGACACCAAATCAGTCAGCCTGGCGGTTGGCAGCTCCCTCCCCAGAGGGAGTATCCAGGAGCGGGAGCTGGAACTGAGGGTTCAGGAAGTCTACCCGTATCATATCCTGCTGCGCTGGGAGCCCCTCCCCAACACCATCTCCACCAACCTTACCTGGTCCAGCTCCTCTTCCCTCCGAGGGCCAGGAACGACCGCCCTTGCCCGCCTGCCTGGGGGTACCCACAGCTACAATATCACCCGCCTCCTCCAAGCCACTGAGTACTGGGCCTGCCTGCAGCTGGCCTTTGCTGACGCCCACACCCAGGTGGCCTGCATCTGGGCTAGGACTAAGGAAGCCAGCCCCCACCGTGGGGCCCTGGGGAGCCATCTAGGGGTTCTTGCCGCTTTGGGGCTCACCGCCCTACTGCTAGCTGCTGGGCTGGCCATTCACTGCGGCCTTTGCCCTACTAAACCAAGTGGGCGGGTGGGTGAAAAGCCTCTCCTCCCATCCTGGGCTCCTTGGGGCCGGAGCACCCCTTCTGTCCGGGTGGTATCACCCCCTTTTATCAAGCACTGGAATCCAGGGAGGAAGCCCACAAAACTTGCAGAAGGGGAGATGGTTTCACCAGTAATTCTCCTTGATTCCTGAAGTTCATCTTATTCTTGGGGGGAGGGGAATAACTAAGACTATTTTTTACCAAAAGGGAAGAGAGCTGGACCAGACCTCCCACTGTAAAGGTGACATAGACCCACACCCTTATGGCGTGGCAGCTGGACATGGACGGCCTGGACCCCCTCAGTCTCCTGCCCCTCAAAACACTGCCACCGGTCCTCTGTGGGACCTCCCTGCTGCCTTCATGAGGACACTTTCCAGGAGCAGGAAGTGCTCTGGCTATTAACCTTCCCCCCACCTCCATCCCAGCCTGTTACCCCATTTATCTGGGAGCCCCTTTAGACTCAGCTTGGATCCTTGGCCCTTGGCCCTACCCCATCCCCCCCAGGGAGCCTAGCCTTTCTTTGATCCTCTATGTACAGATTCATTTGCCTGCTCTTACCCCTTCTCACCCTAGCTTGGGCTAGTATCTCCTTCTGCCCCCAAGGAGCTCTCTCCGAAGGGGAAGGGAATACCTTGCATCTGGGGGACATGAAGAGGAAGGAGCTACCCAGTGTACTGTGGGGGACCCTTATCATCCAGATGCCCGAGGGACTAGGTCACTCTGGAGCTGACTCTGCAAACAGCTTTGTACCTTTATGGAGAAACACGACACTTTCTCTCTTTTCTCCAATTCACTCTCTTCTCCTGACTTGGAAAGGGGGAGGAAGAAGGGAGGGAGGGAAAGAAGGAAGGAAGAAAAGGAAGTAAGGAAGGAAAGAAAGAAAGAAAAAAGGAGTGGGAGGGAGGAGGAAGAAAAAAAGGAAGAAGAAAGGATAGCAGAAAGAGGAGAGAAAATCCTCTATTGCAGTGTATAGCTAGATAATTCCCTGTTCAGAAATCACCTCTTCAAAAGCAGGACAGAGAAGGCTGAGAGGAGACAGGGAGGAAGGAATGGAGATAGAAAGATTGGTTTTTCATTTCACTTTCCCAAATTTGATACTCTAAACACCTCTGCTCACCTGCCAGTAAACCCCGCTAGATCCCTGGAAATGTACAAAGAGCTTTTGGCTCCTGAGGAACAGTACAGGGAGAGGGAAAGCCTGCGGGAGAGAAAACAAAGCTGAGAAGCAGAGATGGGGTAAGAGACAGGGAGGGAGACAGAGGAAATTTCCATCATTAAACATTGTCACCCCTTCTTCTCTGATAAGCAATTAACATTGCAAATGCAACATGCCACTGTATGGGAAGCATTTCCCAGCCTGTTTCTAATTAAACCAACCTGAGAGCCTAGAAGAGACTGGCAAACCATAAAACAGTCAGCAGCTTGACTCTGGGAGGGGCAGGGGTAGCTGGTGGGATGGGAGGTTGGACGAGGGGAAGGATGTGGGATGAGCAAATTGCTGCAATTATCTTTCCGTTCAGTTTCTGTATTGTTTGTAATGAGCTCAAGTTGTTTTTTGGTATTTTTATTTATCTGATTGACTTCTTAGGACCAAATGTGAACAGGAACATTTGTTGATAACCCACTGTTATAATAGCGGTGCCAATAAAGCAGGGGAAGGGGGCTGCTGTGGACCCCAGTGAAAAGACCATGTCAGGGCGGGAGGTGGTTGTGAATATTGCTTCTTTCCCCAGGTGGGGTAAAAGAGGCCCTGGTATTCTTGAGCCTAAAAGGAAACAATACTGAAATTGAATCTCTCCAGATATCCACGGTTTCCAGCGCTCCATGGGAAAATTTCTCATAAACAGGCCTTCCAGCCCATTGGGCAACCCAGGGAGGACAAATAGGCTACTGGATGGGGGCCTGGGGCCCCTACTGCTCCTTTCCTCCCATCTTAGCCCTAGACGAGTGCATCGAGTTTCAGACTGCTTTTGATCGTACTCAGGAGGAGTTCCCTTCTTACTTCCCTCCTCAGGCTCTCCATTCCTGGCAATAAGACAGACTGGGGCCAAAGGATTGGGGACAAGTAGGCACTCACAGAGGGAGCATGTTTGAGGTTCCTCCCTGAACTTGTGGGGCTGTCCCTACACCCTTGCACAGGAGCACAGATCGCTGACTGCCCTGCTTCCTTGGGACATCAACCTTTCTTTTACTTTTTTCATATGAGAACTTTCCACGAAAGGGAGGGCATTCATCCTGAGACCAAAAGTTATCCAGGGCTGGGGAGAAGATTGAATCAGTCCTAATCACTTTTTCCTAGGAGGGGGAGGAAAAGAGGAACAAAGCAGAGATTTCCCACAATATGAGGAGGTAGAACCAGAGACTCAATCACCCCTTTTCCCTTCTTCCAGCCAAGAGGTTGTCTCATGGTTACTAAAGAATCACAAAGCTATCCCTCTTGGAAAAGGGGTCCTAGGTGACCTGAAAGAAGCTATGCAGTCCTCAAAACCCACTCACCCAGTCCCAGCATTGTCCCAGGACCTCTTGTCTAGTCTAGGATTGGTGAAGACGCCAATCAGGTACAAATTGGAGAACCTAAGATTTATGAGGCCAGTCTGCTCAGTGGTTGAACCAGGTACCAGAGCATTAGAACAAGGTCATGAAGGTTGGGGTCCCCCCAAGCTAAGCATTGGCTTATTCCATTGCTGTTTTCTCCCCATTCTCCCCTCCTCCAGGCCTTAAATATACAGACAGACAAAAGGATCTAAGATGGAGCACTAAGCACCTGAAGAAAAGGATCTAGGAATCTAACCATAGGAGATGGAGTTCTAGGGATTCTAGTCTGTGAGGATCCTGGCTTTTTTTCCCCTCCATCCTGCTACTTGGGGGTGAGGAGAGGGCAAAAATATGGTTAACAAATAAACATTCTGAAAATTACTCATCCACCCCACCTTCCAAAAACAGAGTTATAAGGGATTCAACCATTCTCTCAACCATTGTCCATGGGTAAACAGCTGCCTTGGAGAAGGGAGCTGGGGTCAGCCTAAGGATGACTCAAGATCTCATTTATCCTTCATAGACCGAAAGATGCAAGCTCAGAACACCAACCAAGGTTCCACATACACTTGGGAAAGACGGGGTGGAATCAGATTGGTTTTCCCCATTGTTCATTATCTGCCTCTTTCTCTGAATTATTGATGAAGTGACCTTTTCTACAGGCTGCCTTTCCCAAGGTGCTCAGCAAGGAAAGTTTGGGCTGGGATATTCCTTTTTTATGGGAGTAGGGGTGGGATATCCAGGGTCCTGGAGAGGAGATGCTAAGGCCTTATTGGTTTGCATTTCATCCCCTTGTCTCTACCTGCTTTCTAGCTGCCAGATGCAGTGGAGCTAGGAGGCAGGTTTCTCAGTCCCATTTTATTCTATCACCAGCCAAAGGAACTGGAGGCTATCCCTCCATCTTATCTCTGGCTACCAAACTACCTGCCTACCATTAGAAGCATAATTTGATATAAAGGTTTGGGCTCTGGAAGAGGCATTTTTCCAGAAATGACTGCTGCCTCCTCATTAGGGGAGCCACTAATTGGAGATCTTCTGGGATCAACCCACTACCACCACCCTATCCTCAGGAACCAAAGAGAGAGAGAGACTATCAACCAATAAGAAAGGAAAATGCCCAGTCTTAGCCCAGATCCATGCTAGACGTATGAGGAAGAACAGAACAATTCAAATGAAGCCCCAGTTCTGGATGAAGCCCTTCACTGTGACTGAGGGTTAGAGGGGGATGGGAAAGGGTACTGCTGAGATAAAGATCTCCCTACTCTTCCATCTCCATCATCCCCTTCTAACCCCACACCTCTAGCCCCACTGTAGTCTTTCAGTCCCACCTGAGCCCCTCCCACCACATCACTGCCGATATCTGTGGAATAATACCTCATAGCAATACTGTGAAGTGGGTAGTACCAATATTAGCCCTATTTTCAGATGAGGTAACTGAGGCTAAATGACTTGACCAAAGTCACACAATTGAGCTCAAGCTCAGGTCTTCTGACACTTTAATGCTCTTTGCCACATTTTGTCCAGCTCAGTACCTATGTGAGGTACTGAAGGGAAAATTTAAGCAGTATAGGGATGGACCCTCTGACCTCTGGGGAGTTTCTCATTTCAGTTCTCAGAAGCCCCTCACCAACTTCCCTGGCATCAGTGTATTGTAACTGTTACCCTTCAGAGTGGATGGCTTTCCAAGAACTGAAACTTCACCTCCCCCTCACTTCCCAGCACACAGTTTTGAGACTGTTATCTGGTCTGTCATAATCTGAAAGTTGAAGCACCAACCCAGAGAACACAACCATAGACTGATCTTAACCTATCTGGGCCAGAGACAAGTAGTGCCTTGTGAGGAGGAAGGGGACAACTTGAACCTAGGAAGAAAGGCCCCAAAATGGGATGTTAACATTTAATATCATCATAGAGCAGAGAGCAAGAAGGGACCTCAAGAGTGAGGAAATGGACAAGTGCAAAGACGGGAAGGAGGGAAAGAAAGGGAAGGGAAGGGAAGGTGAGTCAGCTTTTATAGAGTGCCTACTATGCGCCAGGCATTGTGCTAAGCCACCTAACTGGTCCCCAGACCTTGGCCCTGAGTCATTGGGAAGGAATTTGGGATTAAAGTCCATTAAGAAAAAGGGAGGGCATCCCAGTAGGCCGTCTCTAATCTCAAAGCACAGGGGTTACAACTAGTTCTGCACTGCACTGAAGAGTCAGAGCTGGATTTGAATCCTGCCTCAGCTACTGACTATCCATGTGACCCTCTGCAAGTCCTTTTTTTTTCTTTCTGGTCTTTAGTTTTTGTATATGTAAAAGAAGGGGATCCAGTTAAATGTGAAACTTCCTCTCATCTGGTCTAACCTGCTGCTTTCAGGCAAGGGTTACTGTTGTTTAATAGATGAAGCAACTGAGTCTTAGAGAGGCTAGGGGCATTTACCCAGAGTCACACAATTAGTAGCAAAGCCTAGACTAGAGTCCCAGATCCTTGCCCTGCTTTCTCCAATGGCATCTGTGGTGACCAAGGAAAAATGTGTAAACTTCAAAGTGCCATAGAAATGTAGGCTGATCGCTGCACCATGCTGCCTAAAGTCCCTAAAGTCACTTTTCTACTACTGGTGATTGCTGGGGGATA